AAGAGAAGAAAAAGTTGATTTGATGTTGCTTTCTTTTAAAAAACGTTTTCTATCTATATAAGTCTATATAAGATTCCCCTTGCAACCCCTAGTAAGAACCCCTTCCCCATGTTGAATGTGTTGAATGAAGATAAAAAGGTGTTATTTTTATCTTTATCTGTCATCAACCTTGTAACAGCCAGTGTCTCAGTCTGTTTCGGGTGCGCATGATGAAATTTGCTGTCAGAAACTTCTCCTTTTCACGATGACAAAACAGGTCTGAGTTGTTTTTTTTTCCTCTTTCCACTTTCCCTCCTATGTAACGTTAGAAACTAAAAGAGAAGAAATAGCCAGAAGAGGAGTGAGAGTCTTACATGACAGTTTAAACAACAGTGCCAGTTTGCATGAGTCACTTTACACCTTTCACACACTTTCACCTTGCAAGGTAAGCTCACCTGGCAGAACACATGATTGTTTCATCACCTCAGTGACTCACTGCTCAGAAATTCACACACAGCACCTTCTTCAGTAACTTCTAAACTAGCTCAAATACCGACCTGGATTTTCATTGAGGGAATTTTTCCTTATGTTGTGACAGCTGCAAGACTTCATGGCTCTGGTCCCCAAATTTTTCTTTTCAACTCCTTGTCGCAGGTTACGTGTTATGAGCTTTAAGAGGTTAAACCAAATAGTGATGTCTTTGTCTCAGTTTCATTTGAATTTCTGTTAGTCATAAAGAGGAAGTCTCCAGCGTGTCAATTTTAAAGTGTGAAAAGTTGGTAAAAAATAACCATAATATTGCACAGCTGAAAAGTTTTGTTCCTTCTTTACTTACCCTCACATATTCTTAATCAAACACAAACTGCCTAAGTTTCAAATTATGCCACTGTAACTGGAAATCGACAAGTTTTCTTGCTTTATCATTAAAAAGTGCATGTTGATTGCACAATGTAATGACTATAGAATGATGACAGCATCTGCATTTCGATTGGTTCTCTGTAAGTGTCTTGAGATTCTGGAAAAATGGGGCAAACTTTTTGATTACCAAGAATTTCATTGTCATCATGAGAGTCTTGTGAGCCCTGCACAATTTCCTGTGGTGTTTGATGCTGTTCCATCTGGGGTTATCGTGCTCTATAAAAACGGTGCCTTTCTGCCTTCTGCTATGACACCTATGCTTGACCCTGTTGACACACCTACAGGAAAACTATGTTTTTCACAGCTTGCAGTAAAAATAACTCAAAAATCCACACGTTATTCCTAACTGACTGTGTCTTGGTCTCATATATAATAGCAACCTGGAATAAGCTTGTTCAGGGCCCATGTTGGGAAAAAATATGGTCTCTTCCTAATAGATATCTACTGGCTAACAAAGTTAAAGAGATTTCCTTTGAGCTCATTCATCGCTGTTACCCTGTCGAGTCATTTTAAGTCAGCTTCAAGAAGGACATTGACACCATGTGCACTTTTTGTAACATGAACCCATTTGTTCTGGACTTGGGAACACACTTTGTTTGTGGCAATATGTCTATAACTTCATATTGGACTATATCTATGATGCTTTTGTACTTTGCTTTGAGGAATTAATGTTTGGGTTTACAAATTATAAGAAAGTAGAACATTTCTGTGTAATCTCATCATATTGCTGGCCAAGTTTTATATCCACAAATGTAAGGTACTTAAAGTCACACCCCCTGTCCGTACCTTCAAAAAGGAAGCAGACTTCTACATCAGGACTTTATATACCTCAAGCAAAAGAAAAGCTGTGAAAACCCTAAATTTGTGCTATAATTTTATTGCATATCTTTTATTAATCTGTATCACAATTTGTTTGTAACCCCTGGCATTGCCTGTCTATCACCTTGTTGTTCCTTTGTCTCTGATCCGTTATGTTCTCTCATACTATTGTCTCTCTATGTTCACAAGAAAATGTGAAATACAAAAATAAAATTAAAAATAAAGTTAAAAAGTCCCGGGAAAATGAAGGCTCCATTTGGAACCACTGTGCCCGCTCTATGGGCACAATGATGTGGAAGCAGAGAGGAGGATCTGTGTGATGTTAAACACATACGTCAAACTTTTTCAAGTAGGTAAAGAGTGGTGCAGGAATGATTCCTAAAACCTGGATATGAGTTAGCATTTTAGCGCTCCTGGTTCACTTGTCTTGAAGTTGATTTTGTTTTGTGAATTGGGTTTTTGGTGAGATGATTGAACCAAGGTCTGTGGTTAACACAAGCTTGAGAGACTTTCACATTTTGTTCTACGACATAAAATAAGTCAGTAAATACCCCACTTGTAAACTGTGAAACATTTACTCATCTTCAAAAAGGCGGTTTCTAACAATGGTTAAATAAGATGACGGAACTTCATCACACCGAACATGGCTTTACAGCCTTGTTGTGGTGGTGATGTTGAGGTCATACAACCATGGAGCTTATTTTCTACATTGATCCAAAATCCAATGGAAAAATCCCACAGGCTTTTTGTCAAGGGAACCATGGTGATGCTAACTTCCCCGTCGGTCTACAAATGGACGTCACCCCTGCAGCAGTCCACAATCAGCCCCCTTCATCCTTGGTCTGGAAGCAGAAACCCTGAAGACAATGCTAAGCTAGGATTTGATGATGATACAAGTGTCAGGTAAAAAGTCAAAAAAGAGGCAGATTAGGTTAGAGTAGAGGTTACATATCATCACGTAAGAGGTGAATCACATCTTTATGTATATTGAATTATAAAGTGGATTACTGCTCCATATGGCCTCAGATTTATTCAGTGAGTTAATCTTTTCTATCTCCTTTAACTTTAGCTTATATTGGAGTTATGATATGTAGCGTGTGAAATAGGGTATGGTGAATGTGCTAGGAAACATAGTATCGGCACGGTCACTACCTGGAGCTCGCATAAATGGAGCCTGGGTTTGTTGAAGGTGGCAGTGCTGTTTGGGCTGAGAAAGCATGTGGGTTTGTCTTCTCTATCTCCCTTAACTTTAGGTCATATTGGAGTTATGATATGTAGCATGTGAAATAGAGTATGGTGAATATGCTAGGAAAGGTAGTATCGGCATGGTCACTACCTGGAGCTCGCATCAACGGAGCCTGGATTTGTTGAAGGTGGCAGTGCTGTTTGGGCTGAGAAAGCCCTGTGTAAGTAAGGTAAAGGAGGTTGTTGGGTCAGTGCAGGGAGCAGTGAGACCTGGCATTAGGGGAGTGAAAGAAGGTTTCCATCCGATGACCCCAAAGACATGTTAGTTATCACTGCTCACTGGTCTGTATAGTTAAGCCTTGCCATAATAGCTTATCATAGGGCTTATTTGAACTTCAAGGTCGCTTTGTAGCAGGGTCAAATAAATGTGACATTAATGGGTTTGTCTTGTACTGATGGTGGCCGTGGTTTGTCGGGGTATGTTGTGTACGCTTCCAGTGTAATGTGGCTGCAGCTTTACAAGCCTCAACTTTTTTGGCTTCATGTGCCATTGAGCAATTTTCATTGGAATGAACGGGGTCCCGCCTCTGACGCTGTATCCAGTTTTCTTTATACATGCGTACTTTTTCTTGGACAGAGATTTTTTGGTTAAGGTTAGGACAGAGTCATGGTTTGGGTTAAAACGAATCGATTTAAACTGTGCAAAAATTGACATGTGACGGGTCATTCAGATTTAATCAGCATTCATATAGTTAATTTTATGGCTGTGTGATACTCATTTTTATTGTTAAATTATATTATAATGTACATTTAAGCATTTGATTAGGTTTTTATCACCCCTTTAATGACTTAATAATTTTACTATCTTTTTGCTAGAAGGTAATTTTATAATTCAAATCTCATAATTTGGCAAAAATGACCATAAATTCACTTTTACCATTTACCATAAAATGAAACCTTTATCAGTGAGCAGTCGCTGCTGCTGTCAGGAATGCCCTCAGCTGGAAAGAATAGGGTCAATGACACAGACGGCCACGTAGTCGGGCGGGGAAACTACTTTGTAATTAAGCAATGTGCTGACCCTATTTACTGATAGAGGCGAGGGGTTTGACAAGCTGATAAGTGCTTGGCGACACTCCACAGATGCAGCCTGTGCTTCGCTCTTTAGTCTGTCCTGACAATTGAGAGCAAGAATGCTGCTCTTGTTAGGCAGATCAGATATGTTCTCAGTCTGTATCATTCATCATAAAAAAGAGAGCACTTTCACACGGTGCTCTGTTCGATACTTAACGAGCTCACATCACATACATGCTGTGATTACTGTAATGACAGGCTCGAGACAGTTTCCTCCTTCCACAGAAGACTTCTTTGTTTATCTCTTAACCTTGAGGCATTTCCTCTGTGGGCTTGTTTGTGGAGGGAGCGGTTACATATAGATAATTAACTTTCCACCTTTTTCTGTCTTTGTTTATTGTGTGCTGTTAGAAAAAGCTGATAGAATATGCATATTGAGGCTGGACTCTTCTGACAGTCTTCTGCAGCGGGTGAACAAGATGCCTCTTTGGTCCGTAGCTGGTTCTGACCTCTGACCAGGGAGCAGAGAGACGCAGCCTCACAGGGATCAATAAACAATCACATAATCATTATTAACCCTGGAGGAGCTAATGTAATTGCCCATTGTCCTCCCCCTTACAGCTGGTAACTGTAAGACATATGGTCATTTATTTGATTAAGTGACGCATAACTGGAGAATCCTGGTGACGTAGCACGCTGTAACACACACCATGTACTCGTGACATAACCAAATCTCATACAGAAATCTCTTTATTTTATGTCACTCCTGATCTAATTTCTAATTCGGGTGCTAATGACGCTGCAAAAAAAGCTGTAAATGTTGAAATTAACTTCACAGATTTGTAATTTCATAGGTCGCATGCTGTTAAGACACAACGCAATGCTGCAAAATGTTGCCACATGATTACTTATGGCCCCAGCTGAGCCCATCACAGGCTCACCTGACTAACCAGGGGTGTGGCAACGTGCAAGCTCTATAAATAAAAGCAAGAATTTCATTCATAACATGGACAAACCCCAAGCACTGAGCTGCAGCACTCTCAAACCAAACCTACCTGGCAGGCTCACCATGCTCAGATCAGGCACACCCCGACGACTCATCTCCTGCATGCTGCTGCTCCTCGTCACCCTCTCCAGCTCAGCGGAGAGCTGGCCTCAGGTGGCCCACGAAGGGACACCTGATGAGAACAGCCAGAGGGTGCAGCTTCTGGAAGCGGTGAAGATGGGGATCCTCAGCTTGTTGGGTGTGGACAGGGAGCCCAGGCCGACCCAAAAGGCCTCGGAAGAAGAGCTGAGGAAGATGTATCAGCTCTACAGGGAGAAAGTGAGAGAGATGAGAGGGAATTCCAGCCAGCCGATGAAGGAAACCTGGCAATCCACCATGTCTACTGTGCTCTTTCCAGCTACAGGTGAGATAGTCGTTAGACAGGGAGACTAAAGGAAGACACTCCGGCCTAATTAAGGCTTTGTCATGCCTAAATGACAGATGTGAAAAGCCAGTGTGAAAAGTTTGAGTGGGAGTAGGAAGGAACGTTACATGACTAGTTCAAGACATCTTGCAGTGTGAGTTTTCACGTCTTCAGATGCAGACAAAAGCTGTTGTGGCGGTGTGGCTGTAAATAACTTCTGTCTCTGTGTATAGTTCATGCTCCAAGTAAGGAGCTCTGACATCCTGGAGTTTATCTTAAAAGAAATGGTTGAAAATAGGAACAGTCTCGTAAAGAAAGAAAACACATTCCTAAAAGCTTTTAGAGATCACAAGCGTGACAGGCACACCTTGTACTTGATGATTACACTTTGAACACTTGTTACAGCAGTGATAAGCTCATCAGTCTTTGTTTCGCTCTCAGTTGTTCCATGCCACAATGTTCCCAAAGTGTCAGATCATTACAAGATGGTCTAATGAAGCTTGTCTTTATTTCATTTGTGTTTTTTTAGTGGAGCTTGTAAAAGTGGTTCGGAGGGGAGAACACTCACATCCACGTTCAGGTCAACGCATGCAGTGGTACAGAGCTGTTTTCCACAAGAACCCCAAAATCAAGACTGAACTGACGCTAGCTCGGGCTGAGCTGAGGATTTCCAGGCAGATTTTAGATAAACCCACTTCAGTTCAGCCTGAGGTTAGACGAAAGATTAAAGTCAGAGTCAACAGGATGAAGCCAAAGAACTCCGCCGCACGGACACACATAAACTCTGCCAACATGTCGAGCACTCAAGATGTGATGCTGGACATCAGCCCTGAGGTGGAGAGGTGGATGAGGACTGATGGCGGCGAGACACTGGTTGTGGATGTAGGGGTAGTTGTGGGTGAAAAAGACACCCTCACTGCAAACCCAACCATTTCTCTGGAGCTTGGCCTCACGCCGACAAAACCAACCAGCAAGACGAGGCTGCCTCGCTCCAACAAGGAAGACGAGTGCGATGAACAAGGATTTTGCTGCCGGAAGGCTGTCACCGTGTCCTTCAAAGACATCGGCTGGACGGACTGGGTGGTGGCCCCGAGTGAGTACACGATGCATTTCTGTGACGGCACCTGTCCCCACAACTACAAGCCTGCGAGCATGCACACACAGGTGAAGTCTCGGTTGCATCAGATTACCAAAGGAGAATCACCTCGCCCGTGCTGTGTGCCTGGGGCCTACGAGCCCATGGTCCTCATGCACTATGACAGTAGGGGAAAGTTGAAGCTGACTCCCTTTGAGGACTTTATTGTCACTAAATGCCACTGTGCCTGAGGAACTGTGCCTTTTTTGTAACCTTAAACTTTGGGAGAGCATTGCCACTGAAAAAATATGTTACATGCTTGTTTTTCAACTGCAATTATCCAATAATACTTTATTTTGAAGTTGAAAACATACGTTACTGCTGCACAGAGTTTTGTTCTACATAAATCAAGCAGTAGATCTGTTCGGTTTTATTTATTTTAAGTTATATTTATGATCCTAAACTTATATTTGTGTTTATGTTACAGCATATTATAGTACTATTTAATTCCATTGCCACTTATTATTTGAAGTACTGTATTGTTTTGTGAGGCGCATGGGTTTAAATGTTTTGTTTGTTGTCTTATACATTTCAAAAATTACATTAAGAGTGAAATAAATGTTCTGATTTTGCCAAACTGACCTGTTGCACTTGAATACATCAACATGTTTATCTCATAATAAACACACGAGCATGATTTGTTCCCATATTTGTCATCCATCCAAAGAAATACTGTCAACCACGGGAGATTATGAGAGTCACAGCATGCCTGAGAAATCAGCCTGTAAAGATATGATAACATCTATTGCTCATTAATGACCTTGAAGTGTGCTCACTGCGGCCTTGACCAGCGAGTTAAGGAACAAAAGTGACATAATTACTAGTTTAATTTGAAAGGGAAAATATGGGCGGGGGGACTCGCTGTGTTATGTAAACCCTAGACCGCTCAGATTACATATCAATGCATTTTCATTGCAGATTATCAAAGCTTCTTGTTGTTAATATTTACATATAAGTGCTGTTGAGATAAGTCATTAGAAAAGGAACCAACGATTATGTGAGATATCCTACGATAGGTGTGATCGCTGAGCAGGGGTGGAGCCAGACGTAAATATACGGAGCTCAATCCGATCTCAGGGTGTCTGGGGGGCCTGCTCCACCTGGGGAGATATTTTTGTAATTTATAGCAGCTACTATTTTTCAAGACATTTGAAATAATAGAACACCTAAAAATCTGTAAATCATTTAGGGAAAACATGACTCAACAAGAAATCATCCTGTAAAGCCGACATTGTTTTGTATAGTTGTTTTCCAACGGTCTTCATCATTCTGAAAGCATACTGATCAAATGCTGAGGATGACTAATTTTCACTCCTGTTGCCTAAAAAGAGGCAGAAATTGTCTGATGTTTTGAGCGTAGAAAAAACATAGGAAAAACAAAGCCAACAGGCACAGCACATCATATGTAACAGTGGCCACAGTCAGAGTGATTAGTACAAATTAGTAGTAGTAGTAGTAGTAGTAAAAATTACACATACAGAAAAGGAAAATTATACACTCATCTCAAAATATATTATTACATTAGCCTTCGACCAGAAAAAATTTCAGTACAGGGTCCCAAATCTTATCAAACACAAAGCCTCTATCCTTGTTATAGAATCTCACTCTCTCCAGATGTAATGTGTTTGCCATTTAATTTTTTAAAATAAAATATTATAAATATATTATAAAATATAGAATATTATTTTGAGGGGATTTTTTGCCTTTAAGGGATAGGACAGTTAAGTGTGAAAGGGGGAGAGAGAGAGAGAGAGAGAGAGAGGGAGTGACATACAGCAAAGGGCCGCAAGTCGGAATCAAACCCGGGCCGCTCCAGCAAGGACGAGGCCTCTGCACATGGGCTGCCTGCTCTAACCACTAAGCCAACGACGTCTCCTTTGCCATTTAATTTAGCCATCAATCATAAAATTAACTTCTTTGCAATCATCATTCCAAATAAACACAGCCATTTTTTGGTATTTGCTGGCAGAGGATAAGGAGCTAGTTGCTCCAAGGAGTGGACCAAGATTTCCCAAAAGCTCAGGCTGGAGTCTATCCCAGCTGACATTGGGCAAGAGGCAGGGTACACCCTGGACATGTCAGCAGATTATCACAGGGCTGACACATAGAGACAGACAGCCATTCACACTCACATTCACACCTATGGACAATTTAGAGTCATCAGGAAGTCAGAGTATCCAGAGAAAACCCACACTGACACGGGGAGAGCATGCAAACTCCGCACAGAGGGCCTTTATGCTAATGTTAAGTGTCGAGTGTCAATTCTGCTTTGAGTGCTGCACTTTTGTCTTATTTTTTCGGCGCGCCGAGAGTTGAAAATTGTTCAACTTTTAGTAAAATGCTGTACTTGTCACTTTTTACCCAGCAGTTCAATCACAGTGGAGGAGGTGCAGGACAAATCTCATGAAGGTCAACCATCACACTTCATATGTAGAAGTGCTGAACTATAACAACAATAGAGGAGAAGTATGTTAATACACTGTATTTAGATTGATATATGTTTCCTCTCATGAACTGGTCCATCCTCACTCCCTATGTGTTTCAGCCTTTCCTTCATCCAGAGCCGGTAGTCTACCTTGTGCCGACGTGTTTAGTTTTGGTGGACATTCTGTATCATAGCAACCAGACGCAACCAAAGCTCTTAGGTAAAAAAAAAAATGTTGCACCTCCAAAGGGCTCTCGAGTGCTTCCAACTGGGCGTTTTCTGAGGAGTTCCTGCTGTTTTCAGCTGGGATATAAAACGCTTTGGTGGACATGGTCGCTAAAAGATGCGGGGCTTTTGAGAAAACATTTGGAGCCCGAGGAGCCCCCACTCAAGCTCGCCTCTGTTGCCAAGACAAAAAAAAACTTTGTCAGATTCAAGAAAGCGCTCAAACTCAAATCGTGCCAAAGTGCAGCTCAAGGTTTTGGAGTTTAAAGTAATAAACAAAGCACGTTGATAAAGTGAGATATTGTGGGTGAACTGAAGTGAACTGAAATTAGTAGCAAGCTCCTCTGAAACGTTTACAGTTTAATTATTACAAGTGGTGACACCACCACCCCTAATGAGCTATTAATAATTTTAATCTTTGCACGAGTAAAGGTCACCTGTGTTGTTTTACAATTAATAAAGTCGATGTATTAAAGGGTGGGGCACACTGAGTGACCCTGGACGACTGAATAAATAGGCAGATGAATAAATAGGTGATTAATCAGAGCTGCAGACACACATGCTAACTGTAATTACACTTTTCTGATGGCAAATTCAGACCTGTGCCCAGAAACTGCTCACTCACTTCTTTGCTTTTATTCTGTTACTCTTTGTTTCTGGGATGACATCCTCACTTATTACACAACTGTGGGTGGATGCAAAGGTCCTCAATCTTAAATTCTGAAAGGTCCTGACTTTCAGTACCACCCAAAGTATACAAGTATAATAGAATTAGGGACAGTATTTATCAAGGACCTTCTGTGTGCAATCTAAGATACACGGCATGAACTCATTACCCTCTGGTATTTGGCTTTCTCCTGGTTTTAATCCTCACGTAGCCTTCCTGGAAAACAATTACTGAAATTAATTCCAGGATGACATGGAACAAAAATGACAATGAAAAGCAAAGAGAACGTCATGGTCAGTAAACCTCCCTCACCGTCTTTGGCAAAGCAACATTCACACCTCTCATTCTGCAGGGGTGGAAAGTAACTGAGTACTGTCACTCAAGTTGGTCACTGTACTTGGGAAATACTGTACTTTTAATCCACTATATTTATTTGATAACTTTAGTTACTAGTTTCTTTACAGATTGAGATTCTTCTTATTATTATAATTATCATTCATCCATCCATTTTCATCCACTTGTCCAGGGCTGGGCCACAGTGGCAGCAGGCCAAGCAAAGCACCCCAGACATCCTTCTCCCCAGCACTGATTGCACACTTTCCAGCTCCTGCTGGGGGACCCCAAGGCGTTCCCAGGCCAGATGACATATGTAATCCCTCCAGTGTGTTCTGGGTCTGCCCTGGGGCCTCCTACTAGTGGGGCGTGCCCGGAACACCTCTAATGGGAGACACCCATGATGCGTCCTGATCTGATGCCTGAACCACCTCAACTGACCCCTTTCAACGTGAAGGAGCTCCTTACCCTATTTCTAAGGCTGAAATAGGTCTACATGTGAAAGCCCAACTAGTAACTAACTAACTAACTAGTGACAGAGTGAGGTATCAATTCTTTTACTAAAACTAAGTACAATCTGAGTCCTTCTTCCACTGCTGTCATTCTATAACACTGACACAAAGCTATCTCTTCTTCTCTCTTTACCACGAGACCTTTTAAGGAATAAGACAGTACATCTGCGTCAAAGGTTTTCACATCCTCTCTGTGTGTCTCTTCTGAATAACTGATGATCCACAGAAGCCATTACCATAACAGGACGCTGACCTTTGCATGTTTTACAAGTGCCAGTGGTGCAATTCTTAAAGCTGTTTCTGAGCCACTACCATGTATTGCAATGTTTGTTTGAACATATTACATAAAATAACGTGAATTTTTGCAGTGTATGCTTTGTCTGCATTTACAGTATTTTATGGATAGCAAAAAAGGAAATTATTTTTTATATACTTTATTAATCCCAGAGGAGAAATTCAATTTTTCACTCTGTTGTCAATTACACACAGGTCCAAACACACACATGCACGGTTGGGGGGTTCGGTGCCTTGCTCAGGGGCACCTCGGCAGTGCCCAGGAGGTGAACTGGCACCTCTACCAGCTACCAGTCCATGCTCCATATTTTTGGTCCGGACGGGGACTTGAACAGGCGACCCTCCGGTTCCTAACCCAAGTCCCTATGGACTGAGCTACTGCCGCCCCTTGTCCTTATATTTCTTTTTTTGACATTTTAACGACAATTTCAACAATTTTTAAAGTGACCACACAGAGCAAAATGACTTTAGAATTTTTTTACTCAGTCAAATCATTAAAACTCATATCAGTGATTTTTGAGCATTTCATATTCATTTACCCCTTGTATGTTTTTCAGTGTATTAAAAAGTAATTGGCATTCACTTATTTATTTGTATATTTACCTGTTTGTTAACTACATGTAGAACAAACAAAAATTAAATAATATTGTATTATGTTTTTAGAGCAAAATGCAAACCTGCTGATGCAAAAGAGGACAGCAGAAAACCCACATGACTTTACCACACAAGTGTGAAGAAATCACACACACACACACACACACACACACACACACACACACACACACACTTCTCCTCTCTAAAGGTCATAATAAAAAGTAATTTAATCTAACAAGAGAGAGCCATAAAACGATAAAACGATCAAATCTTATCAGAAAAATTATTACATTGGACTGTTGTCAAAATGTGGTTATGTGCGGAGGAGTGCTTCTAATATCATCTTTGAACTGTGCTAGAAACAGTAGCAATCAAATTTCATGGTCAACAGAACAAATACAAAAAACGTATACGTATAATTCCACTGCACACTTTACAGAAGCAGCTCAGCTGATAGAATAAAATGTTGTATACTTTTGCAAACCGTCAATGTCTTACACTTGTACG